GGTACTCAGTTCACTTTGCAGTTTTGGAGGGCCGTGCAGCGAGAGTTGGGTACTCAGGTTGAGTTGAGCACAGCTTTTCACCCTCAGACGGACAGGCAGTCCGAGCACACTATTCAGATATTGGAGTACATGTTGCGCGCTTGTGTAATTAATTTTGGAGGGTCATGGGATCAGTTTCTACGGCTCGCGGAGTTTGCATATAGCAACAACTATCAGTCGAGTATTCAGATGGCTCAATATGAGGCTTTATACGGGAGACGGTGTAGATCTCCAGTTGGATTGTTTGAGTCGGGCGAGGCTAGGATTTTGGGTACAAACTTGGTTCGGGATTCTTTGGACAAGGTGAAGGTGATTCAGGAGCGGCTTCGTACAGCGCAATTGAGACAGAAGAGCTATGCTGATAGGAAGGTTCGTGATGTGTCTTACATGGTTGGGGAGAAGGTTCTAGTGAAGGTTTCACCCACTAAGGGTGTTATGAGATTTGGGAAGAAGGGTAAATTGAGTCCTCGGTTCATTGGGCCTTTTGAGGTGCTTCGGAGGATTGGGGAGGTGGCATATGAGCTGGCTTTGCCACCTAGCTTGTCGAGTGTGCATCCGGTATTTCATGTTTCTATGCTCCGGAAGTATACTGGCGATCCGTCTCATGTTTTGGATTTCAGCACGGTTCAGTTAGACAGTGATTTGACTTATGATGTGGAGCCAGTAGCTATTTTGGAGTGGCAGGTCCGAAAGTTGAGATCAAAGGATATAGCTTCAGTGAAAGTGCAGTGGAGAGGTCGGCCCGTGGAAGAGGCTACCTGGGAGACTGAGCGGGAGATGCGGAGTAGATATCGTCACCTATTCGAGGCTTCAGGTATGTTTCTTGACTCGTTCGAGGATGAACGTTCGTTTAAGAGAGGGAGGATGTAACGACCCGGCCGGTCGTTTCATGAGTTACCGCTCCGTTTCCCCCATTTTTGCTTCTTAATGTGTTGTTCAGTTGTATTATGTGGTATCGGGTTGGTTGGTTCGGGTTCGGAGTGGTTTAGTGGAAAAATGAGACACTTAGTCTCTTTTGAGTTTGCTTAAGTTGGAAAAGTCAACCGGAAGTTGACTTGTGAGTAAATGATCTCATAATTTGGTTTTTATGGCTCGGATAGCTTCGTTAGGTGATTTGGGACTTAGGAGCGTGATCGGAATGTATTTTGGAGGTCCGTGGTAGATTTAGGCTTGAATTAGCGAAATTGGAATTTTGGCATTTTCCGGTTGGTAGTGAAAATTTTGATATCGGGGTCGGAATGGAATTTCGGAAATTGGAGTAGGTTCGTTGTGTCATTTGTGACGTGTGTGCAAAATTTCAGGTCATTCGGGTAAGGTTTGATAGACTTTTTGATCGTTTGCGGAATTCGGAAGATTTGGAATCCTTAGGCTTGAATCTGAGGGTGATTTGGTGTTTCGGCGTTGTTTTGAGTGTTCCGAGGATTGGTACAAGTTTGAATAGTGATATATGACTTGTTCGTATTTTTGGATGAGGTCCCGAGAGCCTCTGGATAATTTCGGATGGTTATCGAAAAGTTTAGAGGTTGGAGAATGCAGCTGAAGCTGTTGGTTCTGTCATAACCGCACATGCGGTTAGGGGACCGCAGAAGCGAGGAAAGGTCGCAGATGCGGTTGGGCAGCGGAGAAGCGGGAGTTGAGGCGCACCTGTGAGCCCGCAGGTGCGGATGTGGACTTTTAAGTGAAAATCCGCAAAAGCGGAGATTTGTCCGCAGGTGCAGACCGCAGATGCGATAATTTGTCCGTAGGTGTGGAAATGCCTGGGCTGAAACTATATAAACCTGCCTTCGCAAATTTCAGCTTTGTTCCACCATTTTTTAAACGGGTTGAGAGCTTTTTGAGGGGATTTGAAGAGGGATTCAAGGGATAACGCTTGGGGGTAAGATTTTTACCCAATACTTGATTCTATGGCATTATCTCATTGATTAGGCATGAAATTATTGGAAATTAAGGGTTAAAATTGGAGAACTAGGGCTTGGTATTGGAGAGTTACCATTGGGAATTTGAGGGGCCATTTGGGGTCCGATTTTGATGTTCTTGATATGTATAGACTCGTGGGAGGATAAGGATTTTAGTAGTGTGATTTTTATCGAATTCCGAGACGTGGGCTTGGGGGTCGGGTTTGGCCAATTTCAGGATTTTTGAGTTAATTTGATTACTTTCGCTTGGGCCTTGTTCCTTTAGCGCGTATTAATGGTATGATACTGATTTTGGATAGATTTGGAGCATTTGGAGGTCGAGTCGAGAGGCAAAGGCATCGCAGGCTAGAGTTTGGACCGGTTTAAGGTAAGTAATGATTGTAAATGTTGTCCTGAGGGTATGAAACCCCGGATTTCACATTGTTGTGCTACTTTGAGGTGACGTGCATGCTAGATGACGAGCGTGGGGTCGTGCACCGTTGGGGATTGTGACTTGGTCCATCCCGTATGACTATTAAGTCGCGTATTTAATTGGAAATTGTTTGATATTATTGTATTTTGAAAAGTTTTATCATGTTTTGGGCTGAATGTCATATTTGGGCCTCGTGCCAACTGTTTGGACCTTAGGGACTTTTTACTACTATTACTCACTGTTTTGACTTACTATTTGTACTCGGTCATGTTGTATTTTTACTGATTTCATAACTCAATCGTATTTACTCCGTTTTGATACTTTAAATGATATTTGGGCTAAGTATCCGGTTTTTCTGTTGCCCGAGCGGCTTGGGAGGTTTCTGACTGAGTGAGGCCGAGGGCCTGTGTTGTGAGGATATTATGGGATCGGGATGCGCGCCGCAACATGTTGTACTGATTTGTGATATATGAGAGGCTGAGGGCCTGATTTGTTATGCCACGAGATGGCTTATGATAGTGCTTGGGATGTAGGAGTCCCTCCGAAGTCTGAACACCCCCAGTGAGCGGGTCAGTTTTAGGGTCGTGACAAAATCCTTACCCCTCTTTAGTAAACCTTGCAATTGGAATCATCGAACAATACTTTACCATTTGACTAATAAAGGGATGAAGTCCTTTACTAAACCAAGAAAATAAAATAAGTAGGCTTTTTATGTTTGTTCGTTAAGATTTCGAGCAATTTTTTCAGGGGAAAGTACCAATTATGTTCATTTATAAGTAGCTTATTACAAAAATTGGGTAATGCATTAATATTACTAATATTAGCCAAATGTTACCAGTTAGCTATTTGAAGCAAAAAAAAAAGTTAAATTTTTGGTTTCTTTTGAGTGGTGTTATTAAAATAGGTTGGGTACACTTAAGAAATTTGAATTTCAGATGATTTGGCGGAGTTTTGAGGTGGTTTGGATTGAAAATTCGAAGTAGAAGATGGAATATAAAAAAAATGAGATGCACACTGTGAATTATTTGTGTATCATATGTGTCATAAATGTATCAAATGTATATCCATGTATACCTCTGTGTGTGATACATGTGTCGCAGAAGAATTTTTTGAACTCGATTTTAACTACGAATTTTGATACCAAATCAGTCCAAATCACTTCCAATCTTCCTCAAAGTTTGCATATTGACCTATCTATATGTTTTCAATGAACTTCAACCATACCCATTGAAAAAGGTTCTTTTTTGCTTAGATTTTCGATATCTTGTATTTTTGTATTTCATCATCTTATTTGCTACCTCTTTCATGAAATTTTCTTTCCGTCTCTAATATTGCTAATCACGGTTAAAGATATGGAAGGAGATCTTTGTGTATGATTCTTGGAGAGAAAGAACTTTATTTATTTGAGTTTTCAATTTTATATCTACTTAGCTAGTTTTGATAAATATATGATTAATGGCTAGAGATTGGTAAGTTGAAACTTATTTGGACATGTATGTAAAATTCCATTTTTTCAATTGTTGCCTAATTTCTTAATATGCCCAAGAATTGTTCAGGTATTGAACAATCAGAGAGAATAAAAACAACTTTAACTCGAAGCCCAATAGTGGAATAGCAACATAAAAATTTAAGCCCAACAACGGTACAACATCCAGAAATAGTTTGTCTGGAAAAATAGTAAAAATAGCACGAGCTAGCCAGTTTTCGGACTGGTCATTCCAAAATAGCCAGTGTTTGCAAAGTCATTGAAAAATAGCCACTATTTTGCTGCAACAGAGATCGATCCAGCATAATATACTGGAGATCGGTGCACCTGTATATGAACTTCCAACATATTTGGAACTCCAACACGCGGAAAGTTCCAGCATAATATACTGGATATTGGAGCACCTGTGTATGAACTTCCAGCATATTATGTTGGATCGGTATATTATACTAGAACTCCAGTATATTATGCTGGAGTTCCAGTATACTTATGCTGGAACTCCATTATAATATGTTGGAGTTCCAGTATACTTATGTTGGAACGCCATTGTAATATACTGGAGTTCCTGTATACTTATGTTGGAACTCCAGTATATTATGCTGGAGTATTTTACTGATTTTGAACAGCGTTTTCGTTCAGATTTAACTTACATGAAAAGTAGCTAAATTTCGATTACTTTTGAAACTGTGGCTATTTTTGAATGACCACTTATAAATCTGGCTATTGTTAAATTTTTTCCAGAAAAATACTCAAGTGTTCTTCTTTGGGAAAAAAGAAATATGTTTTTATTTGCAATGGTAAACAATATTTTATTTAAAACCAAATTAAATAAATTTTTTATAAATCATTAATCACTACGATACTTGAATAGTTGAATTTAGATGTTTAAGTATAACCTGGTCCACATCAAGGGAGTAAACAATGATTTTCTTAAATAAGCAACAACGCTAGGTTAAATTTTATTTGTCTATGACCATTTCTTTTCTCAGCTCAAATGCTCAAAGGGCAACCTTAGGAGTCTAAATACCAATTGTCTAAACTATTAGGCGTTAAAAGCACAACTGTCAAACCTTCAAAATTCTGAGCGGGTGGTTCGACCCGAAAATAGAAAACGAGAAGATCCGGACACAGGGTTTAGGGTTTAAGATACCACCCAACAACAAACTAATTTTTCCTCTCTCGCGCTTGCCAACTCCGGCGAATTCAGCGGCTTATCTGTCACCGTCCTCCGCGAGATGGGTGCTAAAGCAAAGAAGAAAGCAATTACCAAGAAATTGAAGAAGAGGGCAAGCGATTTTTCTGCTTCTTCAGCTTCTAAACATGAAGCTCATGACTTTCTGGTACGTTATTTTGTCACGTCCATCTACTGTCTACCCCTATGGATGTATATTGAAATTGTGAGAAAATTATTATACAAAATCTGGCATTAAATTTCTAGTTATTCAAAGTTTATTATATCTATTGCACTAATGTTCATTTAAATTTTTTTTTTGAAAAGCTTATTGACTTGAATCCAATGTAACTCATAAGCTGGTCAAATTGTCCTTGATCAAGCGAATAAGTCTAGCAATTGGAGAAGGACATAGTATAATTTAGAGATAGTGCTTTCCTTGCTATGTGGAGCTCAAGCTTGATAACATTTCATGGTCAATGTGGAAGGAGAGGAATGCAAGATGCTTTGAAGGAAGATAGGTGTCGTGATCCAGCACTATCTTAGTGCTCGGAAATTAAATCTAATAAAAGTTCTGTTACCTTACGCACAAAAAAAGAAGGAAGATATGTGTTATGTCATAGATGTCTGAAGAATATAGAATCTGGTAAAACAAAGAAATGTAAATGGTCTAGATGATATAATAGAGCTTTTACTTTTCAAGTGGAAAAAAGGAGCTTTGAGCATCTGACATTTCTAAAAGATGCGACGGCTACTTTGTAATTATGGGATAAGGCACTTGCGGGAAACTCCTTGCCGAGGGCCTGTGCACCCCCGGGATTAGTCGGGGCTCTTAGAGACTCGGACACCCGGTGCAAATCAAAAAAAAAAAAGTTATGGGATAAGGCTTCAAAAAATTGTGCTTGCGAGGGGATGGTTTGTCTGATAAAGATTTTAGCTAACTTACACTCTTATGTTCGCTCTGTTAAAATTTTAGTGGGCAATGATTCTGTTTACTAAAAAAGAAGAAGAGAAAGAAAAATTGGCAATTAGTGTGCTGTATATGACTTGTTTTTTCTCCTTTAAGAAATAGCCATTAGAAGGTGGGCCAGCACAGAAGCTTCCAAAGACTGAAGTGAGGGAAAATAAAGCCACAGTGTTATATATTGGGAGAATCCCGCATGGATTTTATGAGAATGAAATGGAAGGTTTGCATTTGTCACTATAAATTTATTTGTAAATGAGCCTATTAAGATAATTTATATTTTCCTCTTATGTGTAAGAGTGTGAATTTTAATAATTGTGCGATATACCGTATATGTTGTTTTCAGGTTTCTTTAAGCAATTTGGTACAATCAAGAGGCTCAGAATTGCAAGGAATAAGAAGGTAAATGTTCCTGCCAATTGTTTGTTGTTAATTATCATTGTTTAGAGTTTCTGTTACGTTTGGTCTCTAACTGTCTTCTCTAATGCTTTATGGTTATTAATGTTATTACATATTTAACATATCTGCAGACTAAAAAGTCCAAATTTACTAATAAAAGATGGTTCACTCAAATACTAAGGACTATTGATGTTTTCTAGTTATTTATGATAGTCTGCTCTACAGCTGAAGGAAAGTAACTTAAGAAACAAGAGAAAATCATGGTTGTGGAAGTAATATATAACAAATTATAGAAAGGTCTTTTGGGCAGAAATATTTCCACATTCAACTTACTTCATCTTAGTATCCAAGTTATCCCTTTTTTTCTAAATGTCAATAATTTTCATAGACACGGTTCGAGGGGATGCAACCAAAGCATGCATCGGCTCACATACAAATTCACGAACCAACTAGGTCATCCTCGTGTGCCGGTAGCTTACATTAGGGTGATAAAGGACCTGTATGATGGAGCTAAGACTCGGGTTAGGACTGTGGGTGGTGACTCGAAGCATTTTCCGGTTGTTATGGGGTTGCATTAAGGACCTGCGCTCAACCCGTTCTTATTTTCCCTGGCGATGGATGCACTCACACACCATATTCAAGGGGAGGTGTCATGATGTATGTTGTTCGCTGATGATATAGTTCTGATTGATGAGACGCGAGGCGGCGTTAACGAGAGGCTGGAGGTTTGGGGACATGCCCTTGAGTCTAAAGGTTTCAAGTTAAGTAGGACTAAGAAAGAATATCTGGAGTGCAAGTGAGGCGACATGACGGGGGAAGCAAACTTGTACGCGAGGCTTGACTCACAAGTCATCCCCAAGTCATCCCAAGAGAGGAAGTTTCAAGTACCTTGGGTCAATTATCCCGGAGGTGGGGAGATAGACGAGGATGTCACGCATCGTATAGGGGTTGGTGGATGAAATGAAAGTTAGCGTCTATAGACCTGTGTGACAAGAATGTGTCACCGAAATTTAAGGGCAAGTTCTATAGAGCGGTGGTCAAACCGGCCATGTTATATGGGGCCGAGTGTTGGCCAGTCAAGAATTTCCATATCCAGAAGATGAAAGTAGCAGAGATGAGGATGTTGAGATGGATGTGCGGGCACACTAGGCTGGACAAGATTAGGAATGAAGACATTCGGAAGAAGGTGGGCGTGGCTCCCATAGACAACAAGATGCGGGAAGCGAGGCTTAGATGGTTCGGCCATGTGCAGAGGAGAAGCCAAGATGCCCCGGTTAGGAGGTGAGCTGTTGGCTTTGGCGGGTATGAGAAGAGGTAAAGAGCGGCCTAAGAAGTATTCGGGTGAGGTGATCAGGCAGGACATGGCGCGACTTCAGATATCCGAGGATATGGCTCTTGATAGGAAGGTGTGGAGGTCGAGCATTAGGGTTGAAGGTTAGGAGGAAGTCGAGCGTTTTTCTTCTTTGCACCAGGGGTGAGGCTAGTCTGTTAGGGTTTTGTTTTGGACTGCTAGTGGTGTATGTTGTGTCCATACTATTTTTCCGTTTTTTTTTTCATAGTACCGTGGTGTTATTACTGGTTGTTGTTATTGATTTTCCATTTATTTTTTGTTTCTTACGATGTTACTATTAGTTTTCTGATTTTTGTTGTTGTCACGGATTCTATTGTCTATTTTCATCTTCTTGAGCTGAGGTCTTTCGGAAACAGCCTCTACCCCTTCGGGGTAGGGGTAAGGTCTGCGTACATTCTACCCTCCCCAAACCCCACTTGTGGGATTTTATTGGGTTGTTGTTATTGTTGTTGTTTGTTGTAACCAGGTCATCCTTCTAAGTTAAGCAACACCCAATTTTTCTCCTATCACACTACTGTTCGATCTCTTTAATTGATTCGCCAAGCCTCTGCACTTCTTCTTCAATGTCCTACTACAATTTTAATTATTCTTTTGATAAAGGGAACACCTTGATTATGTATCCTGCTTATAAAGATTATGAAGTATTTTTCATCTACAAGAGAGTTGAAACTATAGGCCATAAATGTGTAGTAGAGTAGGGTCAAGGGTGATTCATTAGCATTCACTTCAAGTTCATCCTTCAAACTACTTAGTCCATTGACACCTTTATTGTTGTTTTCTTATGGGAATGCACTGCAAATGTATCCTTTACGCTACATATCTTATATGTTAATCTGCTGATATGTTTATCACTCCGTTGGGTAACTTTTCTATTTATTCATTGCCTTATCCTGGTTTCGTTTCCTTTACAGACAGGAAAATCAATGCATTTTGGCTTCACAGAATTTGAGTCCCCTGAGGTGTTGTACTCATGCTAGCTGCTTTGTAGTGTTATAGATATGTATTTGTCAAATCCTCTGATCATTTCAATCGCAAAAAAATCCTCTGATCATTTCTTTCTATTGTGGTTGTCTTTTTTGGGTAAGTGCAGGTCGCAAAAGTTGTTGGGATACTATGCATAATTATCTATTGTTTGAGCACTTATTGCAAGTTCATCTTATTCCTCCTGAACATGTACATCCAAGATTGTAAGGGTCTCTCTCTCTCTCGTCCAATTTATGATGGTAAATTTTTTTTGTCCAACTGTGAAGAGATTGTTAAATTTCTGTGGTTTCTTTCCATTTTTTCTCTTTCTTCCCTTTAGGTTATTTTGGGCTGCGAATAGGGAGATTGTTTGTAGGTGGAGCACTTATTGCAAGTTCATCTTATTCCTCCTGAACATGTACATCCAAGATTGTAAGGGTCTCTCTCTCTCTCTCGTCCAATTTATGATGGTAAATTTTTTTTGTCCAACTGTGAAGAGATTGTTAAATTTCTGTGGTTTCTTTCCATTTCTTCTCTTTCTTCCCTTTAGGTTATTTTGGGCTGCGAATAGGGAGATTGTTTGTAGGTGGTGGGAGGTTGATTGGGACTTTATAGTCTTTGGCATTCTACAATAAATTGGTTTACCAACCATTCAAAGAACATGCATATCATTTTTCATTCAGAACACTTTTTTGGCTGGATTAAAGAATATATTGAGGAATCATGGTAGCCTTAAGCCTGTTGGTTGGCTACCTGGTAATCCACCTTGTCGTTGGGGGTTTGATTCCCCACTTTGTAATCTCCTTCCCCTCCGCTTATGTATGATAAAACAAATTTTTTTTAAAAAAGAATACATCAACTTGCAAAATTGAAGTACTAGTGGAATTGATTGAATATTTTCTGCTTCAAAATTATACATGCTTAGTCTTAAAGATTCCAAATGGAGTAAGCAACAACTTCTACCGAGGGAGGGAAAAAGGTGCAGCTTAGGCTTGGGCGGAAGGTAAAAAATAAATTATTGGAAGCTCTGAAATTCTGTGTGTGAAAGACTGGCCAACATATTGCACCTTCAGAAATATTGTAATTATGTTGTTGCATGTTGTGCTCTGGTTGGGTACATAATGGGATCTCTACATGTCAGACAGCGGTTTTGAAGTGCTGATAATTAACCAAAAAGGGGTTTTGAGGTGCTTATTACATATATTGGGAGCTCTCCTATGTAAATTTCTTGTTACTAAAGACACAGAAGTCTGATATTATTCTTAATCTTTTCCCTACATTATGAGTTATGAGTTCAGGATTGAAATTTGAGATGCACAGTTATTTTATTTCATGATGATATGTTTCCTCTCTGTACATAGACTTAAAGAGATTTAATTTGGTTATGTCCTGACTGCATAATCTCATTATAAGGGAGCAAAAGATATATATAGAAGCATGGTATTATCGTGAATATTTTAGAACTTCAGAAGGACTATGAAGTGGTTGAAAATTTAGTGGGTAGGTTATGATACTTCATTAGCATGGAGATGCATATTTCAAAATTTGGATTTAACAACTCTGATTTGTACATAGGTGGAAAGGTGTGAACCGCTGGTACAAACCCTTGGATTGGGTTAAAATTGAAAAGAAGCGTCAAGATAAGGTAAGATTCAGTAGGACATTAACATTTTTGCTTTTGGCTTGTGCTAACTGCTAAGACTTAAGAGCATGGTAAGAGTCTAGTATTATGACCTCCCACTTCAAATATAAACTTGTTGAGTGCTAAAAATCATATCCAGGAAAGAACGCTGGATGAGCACAAGAAGTTGGTTGAAGGAATATTAAAGTGCGACAAGAAGAGGCGAAAGAGGATTGAAGCAGCAGGAATTGACTATGAGTGCCCGGAAATTGTAAGAACATATAAGCTTCCTTTATTCTCAGTCTTACTTCCTGATGCTGCAAATACAGCCAACTTGTTACTACTTGGAGTATGGAAACCCTTTTTATGTTTTGGTTAATCTAGCAGTTAACTAGATTTTGCGCATATGATATTTTCTTTATAGCAACTTTTGCATGCTCGGCTAGTATCATACTGTTGAGCAGGCATTTGTTTTGTTGGGGCAAGAATGCCAATCACTTGGCTAAACACTCGAAAGAACTGGAATTAGGAAAGTGACCAATGCTTTGCACGAGGATAATGCAAGAGTTTTATAGGTTAGCTGAAACCATTGCACAGTCCATTAGGAAGTTACATGCAAGGGGATTATGGTATTTGGCAAAGGAGCCACCAAATTTTACGATTTTAGAGAATCAGCAATCATCACATATATATGAGGTTTTCTGTATATTTTTTTGTGCATGACTATTTGTTCTTTCTGCTACATATTAAAAAGTACTCACTTCAATTGATTTTTTGGTTGTTTTCACACATTAAAGAGTCCACGTTTAACATTAATTAACAATAAAATTTACCATATTAACATTTACTATCTCTTTAATTTGTTCGTTGAAAATATAACAGATACTCTGAGACATTTTACTCCAAGGACAACTTTGAAAAAAAGAAGTTAATTCCTTCTTGATATCTAAATAAATCGAATATTGTGGACCACAAAAAAAAGGCCCAAAAAATCAACTAAAGTGGACCGGAGGGAGTATAATCTGTTAAGTTATGATGCACCCTCCAAAGAATTAGACTTGATTAGATTAATCTTAGAAAATCATATGTTAGAATTAATCTTGGCAATATTATTTGCAGGTGGGTTCAATTCAGGCTGCACCGAAGAAGATCAGATTTGATGCAGAATTGATCTATCCAGCAGAACCAAGGCAGCAAGTAGATAAGTATATGCGAGGCAGTTTGCATCACGATTCACGGTCATGTAAGCTGTAAGGTCACGTGCCGTTGAACCATACTGGCTGATGGAAAGCCATCAATCCAAGTGTCTATTGGTTATAGCTTCTTTGTAATCGCAGCTCAAACTATGAAGAATTCTGGAACTCCCAAGGGTGATAAAATGAAATTTTCTAGCTATCTAGTATCTTAATGCAAAGTATTTAGGCTATGATGTGCCAGATTTGAGTTCTTTTGGTTATTTTGTTCTTTTCCCTGCTGAATGTACAGTTAATGATTTCCATAATTATCCAAAGACTCTGAATCTACAGGCTTTATTAGTTCCCGTTGAACATCTTGGGGAAAAATATAGTTTTTGGGGCCTGAATTTTTCGTTGAGAAATTTTGTTTGCTTGCAAACTCATTACTTACTGGTTGGTCTCTGGATGAGCGAACCAGCCCTGTTTGAAATGAATGAAAATCTACCCGTTAACCAATTTGGGCTTATTGCAAAATGGAGCTGATAGTTTTTAATTTTTTTTCTCCTAGTATTAATGTAAACCTAACAATGGGATTCTTCATGAAAATATAATACTCCTATGTTATTTTGCCAATATTTAAGCTGGGTAGTTTAGCCTTCTGTTAAATTATAGGAGTATCGAATATTTTACTTAAAACTCTCACCAAAAAGGTGGCCCAAAACAAAAGGATAATTAGTAACAATACCGTAATTTATTGCTCGTTCTTTGGATACTTTGCAGACATTTATTACTCCCTTATGTGTGGTGTTTCTTTTTTACATACTCTTAAGAAATATTAATTACGAAAGGGATTAGACTACTCTATCCTTATTTATATCTTAAGATATAATATCTCTTCATTGAATATTTATTCTATTTATGTATTATCTCTTTTTTCAAGAACAATTATTAAGGGTAAAAAAAGGAAAAAAACAATCAATTTTGTCTTGAACTTCTAAAATAACAAATAATTTGAGACAACTATTTTTAGTAACCATAATTATTAGTAATATGAAACGGAGGGAGTAGTTTTTTTAATGAATAAGTTTCAGTTAAAGCAAAAAACAACAGATTGGGAAAACGACCCAAACTGGAAAAAAAAAACAAAGAAACATACAGTCATTAACGTTCTCTTTTCTCTTTTTCCAATTAAGGTTATCTGTATGGGTGCAATTAAAGTAGCAGCCAGCAGCAGGGACCATATTTAGGACCAAATTAATGAAATGTTTTAAAGAACCTTGTCTCTATTTCTAGGATAAAGAGTAATAATAATAGAAAATCACAAAGATGATTTGATTCCCTAAAGTGCCATCACTAACATGACCTTAGGCTTTGTGTTACTTAGCTGTTTTGGTAAATAAATCAACCTCTTCGTAGCCCATAAACGTTTGAATAATATTTGGTTGAAAAAAAAAACATTTAAGTTTAAATTGAGAAACACTATTTAGAAGTTGAATTGTTTTGACATGAGTTTCCCTTAAAGAAAATTGGATCCTGCAAGTGAAAGTTATTGTTTCACTTAGAAATGTTTCTCAAACGAGTTTTTCAATATTTTGCTAGTATTTCAAACACTGAAAATTTAATATTTGCAAATAATAATTCCTTTGCGCTTTTAACAAAGGAAGAGACATTGACAACATCATACCATACCTCATTGGCAAGCAACAAGATATGGCTTTGTTTTATTTATACCTTAGCATCTTAATTGAGACAACAAACTCTATAACGATTCTTTCTTTCATCAAGCTTTTGAAAATGAAGACAATAATAGATTCTTTTTCCTTATATTCTTTGCTTAGGGAGAACTTGTTAGTTAATTGTAAAAAGAAGTTATACGATTGATCACCGAATAGTTAATTAATAGGATATTACAGACATTTTGATAAAAATATATTAATATGCCATCACTAGTTAAACTACATAAAAGTAATTAGTAATTAAGCAATGGGGACCAAATTCAAGGCCCTAACCATAGTGAGCATATTACTAATCACTTGCTTTATTTTCCTTAATTTATGAAATAGTTAATTTTTAATTATGACTTTAGCCAATAATTATTACAACGTCAGAACTCAGAAGCAACAAAGAAGAGCAAAAAATGTGTAAGTCATTGACTCCATAAAGTCTTGACTTACTTTTGCTGATGATATTTCTTCAACCAGAAGAAGAAAAGAACAAGCTGCTGTCTAGGTTTATATTGATGTTTCCTCTCACTTGGCTTTATAAAAAGAACTTTAATCTGTTTCTGTTCATTTGTCCATTCAATTAAAGGAAAAAATCAATAAAACTTTACTCGTATCCAATGCTTACACCAAATTATATCAACTTTTTATGGTTAAGTCAATGAGATGAAAATATAATTAATTAATTATAATTAAGTGAAAAAAGTTTATATATATTTATAAATGCAAGTTATTTTATGTTTTTATTAATTTTTAATACATAATTCCTTTTGCGAAGCTTAAAGGAACTTCCCTCTAGATGAAAAAGTGTGCATCAGAACAAAAGAGAGAAAAAGAAAAAGTGGACATTAAGTCAAAGTCAACAAATAGAAAAATTTTATCACAAAACAATGAAATGTCCATTCCAAAGTTTAAAGTGCGACAGCGACCTAGAACTGTTTGCCTCAATCAGCATGTACGTATCAAAGAAAGTGATTATCAATACTTAGAAGTTTCCTTATTCAAAAAGAATTAAATATGTACTATGTTTCTACTTTTTCTCATTTGTATTATAGCCCGTTAGGCCAAGCTGAAAAAATCAATTTATTTTGAAAAGTTTAGCTAATCAATCTGAAACACTTTTGAGCACTAATTTAATTTAGTCAAATTTTTTTAAAAGTGCTTTTAAGTATCAATTGTTGAATAAGAACATGAAGAGATTTATTTAATAGTTAATATAAGTTCATAAATAATCTTAAAATATTATATTTTTTAAAGATAATAATTAATCTTTTCATTTTATTTAAGTAAAATATGAAAATAAAATTGAAATGTACTTTAATTCTTTTAAAATGAAATAAATATATTAAAAAATTATTCAATATATAAAAGCATTCACATCTAAAGTCACTATATATTAGAAACAATCCTAAAAATAAGAAAAAATAAATGTTTAGCAAGGGTTAGCTAACATACGCCTCAGCCATGGCAAGACAACGGAAGAAGCTCCCATCCCCATCGGGAGGGAAGGATAATGAAGTAAGCATAGTAACACCAGCTCAGGTACAAACAGGACGGTGGTTAACTGGTATGAGCAGTGCACCCACACTGTTTCATAACCCAACTCAAGGTGAGAAGATTGATGGAACGATAGTAACGCCAGACACTGGGATTCAACAGGAATTGATGCCTATGACGTTTGGTAGCTTCCTACCGCAGAAATTTCAACCAATAGTGGAGGAAATTGAAAGTGAAGGAGGAAAATCTGGCGAGAAACCTACTGTGAAGGAAAGCACTGAAGCAGTTCATCGCAGACTAAATTTCTCAGCAACGGGGAATATTGCACAACCTACTAGAGAAATTGAAAACAAAGAGGAAATTGGGAGTAAGGAAGCGGTACCTACTAGGTATCATAATAGGAGTTCTCAAAAGGGTAAGACATTGAATTACATACCCCCTATTATTCGTGATGGTGTTGTTGTAGTGCAAATTGATGATGAAGAAACAAAGGAGCAGGAAAATTACTGGAGTACAGCCCTAATTGGCTATGTCTTGGGGGATAGTCCATATGAAAAAACGATGGAAAATTACATTGCAAATGTCTGGGATTTTGCTGACCAACCTCAAATCCTTTATAATGATGAAGGATACTTTGTCTTCAGATTTCAAAATACGGTGGATAGGGATCAAGTTCTTCATAATGGACCTTATACATACCACAATAAACCCCTGATTTTGCAGCGTTGGAGTGTAGACTTCAAGTTTGACCCAAGTTGTGTGAGTAAAATTCCACTATGGATCAAATTTCCAGGTCTACCATTCAGTTTCTGGGCCACAGATGTATTAAATAAAATAGGCAGTGCAGTGGGTAAACGTCTGTACACAGATAAATTTACTGCTGAGTTAGAGAAGATATCGTTTGCACGAATGCTTGTTGAAGTTGATATATCTCGTCCTTTACCAGACAGTGTGAATATTCAAACTTCTAGAGGGATAATCAACCAACAAATTGAGTACGAGTGGAAGCCAAAATTTTGCTGTGACTGTGTAAGGTTTGGACATAATTCTAAAGACTGTTGGTTGAAGCAAAAGCAGGAAGGGAGTGAAGAAATTAGGAAGCAACCACAGAAGAGGAAGAACAATAAAAAGCAGAACCTCAAATGGATACCAAAGGTGAATAGAGAAGAGGATGATGAGAGCGCAGGGGAGCAAACAGAGAAGATGATTCACTCCATTCCTTTGTCAAATGGAATGGAAACAGGAGTACTCAAGCAAAATTCAGCTACAGAGGGTACTCAAGGAGTGATTGTGGAGGTTGAAGGGACAAAATACATGGAACACAGAACCAGTAACAAAGGCAAAGCTGTAGAGAATGCTATAGGCTTTATTTCTGCCAATAGGTTTGATGTCCTGCAGATGAATGAAACACAAACACTTCAAGGGGACGCTGGCCCATCCAGCTTCACCTAGACATGAACCTATGTACTTGGAATATAAAGGGGCTAAATAAGCCCCACAAACAGAAGGAGCTTAGGCTCTTTCTGAAGAAGTATAAGGTGAATGTAATGGGATGTTTGTAGACAAGAGTTAAGGAGAGGAAATCTACTAGAATTATCAGTCAAGTAGCAAGGGATTGGAATGTATGCTGCAATTATAATGCACATCCAAATGGTAGGATTTGGTTATTATGGAAAGGGAATGCGAATGTTCAGATTATACAAATTGAGGATCAGTTTATTCACTATGAAATACAGGAACCAAGTTCTAACTTTAGCACTACAGTAACCATGATATATGCAAGTAATGACAGTAACCAGAGAAGTCAACTATGGAGGACTCTTGCTCAGTTAGGGAGTACAGTTCAAGGGTGCTGGCTATTATGTGGAGATTTTAATAATGTGTTGTTCACGGATGACAGAATTGGAACTCCAGTTACACAAGGTGAAACACAAGGGTTGCAAGATCTGCTAAATACTCTACAACTTACCAAATTAAAAAGCTTGGGGTGGTACTATACATGGTGTAACAAGCAAAAACCTGATAAAAGAGTTTACAGTAAGATTGATTGGGCTTTTGAAAATTTTGATTGGCTGCAACAATATGGTCATATTGAAGCAGAATACTTAAATCCGGAGGCATCTGACCATTCCCCTATATTAATTCAGTGCAGTCAAGGGCATCAGCAGAGGAGTCTACATCTAAAGCCATTCAAATTGTATAGTTCAGTTATGGAGAATGCTGAGTTTAAAGGGATTGTCAACAGAGTTTGGAAACAAAATATACAGGCAGACCCAATGCAAAAAGTCTGGCTAAGGTTGAAGATGCTAAAGAGAGACTTTAAGGACTTGAATGCTTATATGGCTTCCTACAAGCAACACCTAAACCATGCAAGGCACAAGCTTGAAGTTATACAGACCCAACTCATGATACAACACTTGGATCAAGATTTGATTGAGCAAGAAAGAAGGGCCTTGGCAGAGGTTGAAAAATGGAGCAATATTGAGGAGCGGGTACTTAAGCAGAAGTCCAGAGCTAATTGGATCACATATGGTGATTCAAACTCTAAGTACTTTCATGCTCAATGGAAGGTGAGGACAAGTAGGAATGCAATTACATCAATCTACAAAGATGATGGAACAAAAGTAACTGATCCTATACAACTAGAGAATGAATTCATTTCCTTTTTCACTAAACTCATGGGGGAAAGAGGCAGTCTTCATAGATGTCCTAACACAGAAGTTATTCAACAAGGTCCATGCCTCACCTTAAGTCAGAAGGAGGAGCTCATTCAAGAGATTACAGTAGGGGAGATCCAGAATACAATAAATGATATGCCTCATGAAAAGGCCCCTGGGGTTGATGGATTTCCAGTTGAATTCTTCACTAAACACTGGCAGGAAGTGGGAGATGATGTTTGTGATGCTGTCAAACAGTTTTTTGCAACTGGGAAGATGCACAAAGGAATCAGTAGTACTGCTGTGACACTAATTCCTAAAGTGCAGAATCCTAGTCATGTAAAGGACTATAGACCAATAGCTTGTTGCACAACCTTATACAAGATCATTACAAAGGTTATCACAACAAGAATAAAGAGAGTAATTAGAGGACTGGTAGGGGAGCCACAATCAGCTTTCATTGAGGGCAGATGTATCACAGATAATATTTTCTTTACACATGAGTTGTTCAAAGGGTACAATAGGAAAGGTATCTCTCCAAGGTGTGTACTGAAGGTTGATTTGAGGAAAGCTTATGACACTTTAGAATGGACATTCCTGGAAAGAGTGCTGCTGGACTTGGGATTCCCTTATAAGTTCACAGGTTGGATTATGGAATGTATCTCCTCAGTAACCTATTCTCTGAACATAAATGGGGGACTGACTAAGCCTTCAAAGGAGAANAGTCTCTGGAAGCTTCTCAAAATATCTCTCTCCTTTTTCTGTTAACTGTTTTCCGCCATTGGAGCTCATTCGAGCTCAACATCTGTTCTTCTCTTTGCATTTTAACACTCTTGATGCCTACCCTATTTACTTCATGTTGGCTAGGGTATAACCTAGATTCTTGATGCCTTTTATTGATGCTTCTTAAGCGTGCAAAATAAAGAGGGTTCTATTTTGCCGAACCACATAGAGTGATCAAAATTTTGCTGCTACATACTTGTTGCTTAGATTGAAGTATATTAATTAACTAAGTTTGGTCGGTCTGATCATGTAAATTGACCAAAACATATTATTCCAAACTACTTCATGTTAAATCATGACGTTTTAGTCAGTATAATATCTACAATTCGTCACAAGAAGAACGGGAAACACGGTGTTAATTTATAAGCAAATTATTTAGGTCTATTAACCAAATAAATCTTTAACCGTGTTAGGCTCATTCACTTTTAGTTTCAACTAGTTTTAGTGTACGTGCATTGCGCGTGTATACTACTCAATCAATAGAAGATATATACGAAAGAATAATTTTTTGAAAAATTACAAGTTGACATTAAAATAATGCAATTTTTTATTTAAATGACGAAAAAAATGTTATTACATTGATACGATTGCTAAATTTAATATCTTTTGAACATGATGACCAATTTAGTCAAATTAATTGTATAGATTAACATGGTAAAAATTTTTCTAGTTATCCTGTAAGGAATCGATAAACAACTTTTAGCTTAATCCTAATTATGAAGAAATAACTTGTATTGTAAGAAATAAAAAAATAATATATGGTCCTAATTTGTCAAAATTTTAAAATAAATGGTGTAGGTAGAAAAAGGAAGTTGAACATACTTCACATTTCCAAGTATTACGAAAGTGATTGGTAAAATTAGAAACGTGCTCTTCGTTTTTTTTTTTTTTTTGGATTCTTATCTTAGCTATATCTTTGTTATTTATAGATCGTTCAACATGGTGATTGAATTTGTAATTTGTAACTTAAGTGCATAAAAATCTTATTTGTCATCCATAATTTATCAAAATTATAGATAAATTAAGTGGACCTTTTTTCGTGTAGAAAGTTTGCCCGGATTTTTTTTAATTAAAGTCTAAACCTCTTTTTTACCACCTTTATCAATCCTAGATGGAATCTACTAATAGGTGGCCTTGAAATTTTAAGAGTTCCTATAATTTTTTTCAATATTACAGGAGAACAAAATGACAGAAGTTATCGTTATCTGAAAGTTTCAATTATATTTATCAAAAATTAAAGATATTAATTGTAGTCACAAGTTTACATGAGATGCTCGTTGCTAAAGATTGCTTATGGATCAAATGGATTCATACCTTCTACATAAAGCACCACATGCTAGAACATATGCCAATACCCAAGAATGCAGCTTGGGTAATCAGGAAAATTCTGGATTCAAGGAATCTCATAGGGGATGTTCAGGGTATTCAAGGCAACCTTTTGAGCAGGCTGGATCAATTACAAAATGGCAATTCCTTCAGCATTAGGAAGCTATATCGGCTACAATTCCCCCAACTACCTAAGGTTCCATGGAAAGGTATTGTGCTGCAGCCAAGAATGCACCCCAGATTTAAATTCATTCTATGGTTAGCACTACAAAGAAGATTAGTTACAGTTGATAGACTACTGAAGTTTGGTGTTCGAATAGCTCAACAATGTGCACTCTGTAAGCTAGCTGATGAAACTTTTGACCATTTATTCTTTGAATGCTCTGTGACAAATGAAGTGTGGTCGAGACTGTTGATATGGTTAGGACATTGCAGACCTGTTCAAAATTGGCAAAGTGAGGTGGAATGGATAAGTCACTATGCTACAAAAAAGAGTGGACACTGGAAAATTGTTACTTGTGTATTTGGCATGATGGTTTATACCATATGGAGAGAAAGGAACAAAGTTCGATTCCAGGGAGGTGCAGTAAATGTGAACAGTGTATGCAGAGAAGTAACAATTCATATACACATTAGAGGGCAGGAAATACAACACTGGCATGGAGCTCTTAGAACACTCAATGGGTACCCATAAAGGATAGCTTAGTTCTTGATGTATAATTAGCCTTGATGTATTTCGATCAGCTGTTAGTTAATTAGTTACTTAGATTTAGTGATGAAGTCACTGAGTCTACAGATAGAAGATATGTACTGAGGAGTAGATGGTCTGCATCTACCTGTTCTGTAAATTTAGTTTTTGGAATGAAAAAAAGATGAGCTATTTACCAAAAAAAAAAAAAAAAAACGTGAGAACTACTAGTGCTAGTATTACCTCGCGTACATCATATTAACACTATTATATATTTACGTCATTAGAAAACTACCAGTATTATTAGTATTACATCACGATAACGATGTATATAATCATTACTAGAATTTGTCTTTTTCTTTTGATATCTGCTGGGTCCACACTCTCCTCGAAGCTCAAGCTCTAGTAAATCCATCTATTTTTATGATTCAGTGATCTTATAGCAAATTAATGATAACGCACACTAATTTATTATTTAAAAAAAAAAAAGATAGAAGAATGGTCTTTACTCAGGAGAAATATTCCATTATTTTCAAAAAATGTGACAGGGTTAAAAGATCTTAAGATGGCAAGAATGCGTGATTCTTATCCTTTTTTTTTAACATCGATATGTGCCTTTTCCTATGGTGCAACCCTTCAATCTTATCCTAATGTACGTGGAGTTGCATTTAAATATCTTTTGATTAGGTCATTCTTTAGATACAATAAAAAAAATATTAATTCACTACCATTCATCTTGCTGTCAAATTGCGCGCACACACACAAAAAAAAACAAAAAAGCCTAACCAATATGATCGTCTAAATTACCTAGGTCTGCTTGTGGTCATCCAAATAGGATACCTCTAAAAAGAAAAAGTATATTGACTTCGATAAAATATCAATAAAATAAAGAGTTTATATAATTTCTAGTATTTGTTAATAGTGTATCAAATCACTATAAATAATTAACCATCTATAGAAAAGTAAAATTAATAAATAGAAATAAAGCATGTTATCTCCTCTTCTTCTGTTTTGGTTAAAAGGATGCATTTGTAAAACGTAACTAGTTAAGCTGTTTGAACAGGTACATCAAAGGGATATTAGGATCCCCTATCAAATCCAAATACTGAGCCAAAGTAGGAAGACTATTAATATTACATTTTAAAACACGTTTAGGGAAAGTAGTTCTTAGAATGTTTGTCCAAAAAGCTTCATTTGAAAATATCGGAGGACTTACTAACATGGTAAATCTTTCAAAAACTTCCTTCTTGGCTCCTTCTTTTGCCAAAAGATCAGCTACTCTACTTTGCTCCCTGTAGCTGTGTTTGATCGTTGTTCTGTACATTTTTTGAATCAGCAACTTCCGTTAGAGTGAGATTCCCGTCATCAGCAATTTGCAAACCCTGCAGTAGAGCTATTAGTTGAGAATGAGTATTAAAAGTGTGCGGGAGACTATCCATGAATCCTATTATCCAGTCGCCATTGGAGTTCCTGAAGACAAATGGGCTATTTCTTTGCAAAATTTGTGCTCAATTTCGTGGAGTACTAACTTTTCTACTATATTGTAGTACCGGGTAAATATTAGCTAACCCCTTTATTAACTATAATTCGGGAACAGAACAATCTTGTATGTAAAAACATTTTATCCATTTAATTTCATTTTCATTGGTTGGTTTCATCTTAACTTTCTTCAAACAGATGGAAGAATTTTTCAAAAATACTAAAGTTTAGGGTTTTGGAACTTCCACCCTGTATCCAATATTTATATTGGGGCCCGACTAAATTTGAATTGGTACTAGAAAATCCCATATTGGGAAGTAAAATGCTTCCTAATAAAGGTAATTTTATACCCAGACAGGGCTCGAACCCCAGACCTCTAATTAAAGATGAACAAGTACTCACCTCTCCACCATATATATATATATATATATATATATATATATATATATATATATATATATATATATATATATATATATATATATATATATATATATATAAAACTCTTGTTAATAAAGAGCTCATAACTGTTGAAAGGAGTTCATGAAGTATGGTCTCATTTTATTTTATTTATTTATTTGTTTGTTTGTTTTTTGAAGGAGTGCAAAAGACAAGGTGAGGACTGCGCCGAACTTTTGTTAACTACCAATAGCCATTTTCTCCAAATTTTTAATCATCAATTGGCTCAATTATTTCATATTATCTTCGCTAAATCTGAATAAATTTAGTCTGTTAAAGTTGTAACATCTTGCATAGCTGCTTGCACTGAACCTATTGTCCAGCAGTAATTAAGTTCTCATAGACCAAAATTATGTAAAGTGGTTGGCTTACGTGCATTGCTATACATAGTTGAATCTTAATTAAAGACGATTATCTATTGAAAAGTTCCCTCCTTAAACTCCACTTGTATAATTACATTAGGTATGTTATTATTGTTATTGTTATTATTGTATTTGTTGAAAAGTTAGATCACAGAGTTTAATTTACAATTGTCACGCCTCCCTTTTCCGGAAAAAAAACTCGTAATGTTCCAAAAGAACAGGATTTTCATTCAAAAGTGACGAAAATATGTATATTTCAAAAGGATTTTATATGGAATAGCACACGCCTAACATTGGACTGGTGTATTTGGTCATCTTTATTCGAAAACATGTTTTTTTTTAAATAATGTTTTTTTTTTTTAAAATTTTGAAAGCCAAAGTAACTCCCATAATAGTTCTTCATTATTAAATTCCTGGATTTGGAGTCTGGAGATTCAGTTGACAGGAGGAAAATGTTGGGCAACTTCCAAGTTCCATGTCAAGACACAATCACTTATCTAAACGTCAAACGACATTTCAAAGAGCCACTTGATTAAGACCAAACTGTCAGGACCCGGATTTCCCATCCTCGAGAGTCGTGATGGCGCCTACTCGTGAAAGCTAGGCAAGCCAACTATTAAGGTTCTACACATTAACAATCAACCCAAACAATTACAAACAGTAACTATAGCTAAACAAATGAAAAGCGCGGAAGAGTTAAAATAAATCCAAATACTTCAATACATGTCTACCCACGAATTTGGTGTCACAAATTCACGAACGACTAAGATTTTTTTACTACAAATATAAGTCTGGAAAGAAAAGTACAATTGTTCTCGTAATGAAAAGAGATAGTAGAAAAGCTAAACATAGAAGGGGGACTTTAGGCTCTGCGGACGCCAGCAGATCTACCTTGGTCTCCCTGGACTGAAGGCAGCTACCTTAGCTACTCACTGGGTCCGGTACCAAAATTTGCACAAAAGAGTGCAGAGTGTAGCATCAGTACAACCGACCCCATGTACTGAGTAAGTGTCGAGCCTAACCTCGGCGAAGTAGTGACGAGGCTAGGACACGACAATCATATATGCCTGTGCAGATAACTCATATACAAGCAGAAACATAATAACAGAAATCAACAGAATAAGGTGGGAAGGGGACATGTTGCGGGGAATATCAGATTCTAACGATAAACCAATAAGGAAGCATAATGAACATCATATCTAAATCATCAAGAATAATGAAACGGTAACACGTGCACGGCATCACCCTTCGTGCTTTTACTCTCGTCCTCACCATATGAATCAACAGAAACGGCATGGCATCACCCTTCGTGCATTACCTCTCATAATCATGGCACGACATCACCCTTCGTGCATTGTTCCTCACAATATCGGCACGGCATCACCCTTCGTGCATTAACTCTCATATCATGGCACGGCATCACCCTTCGTGCATTAACACTCATAATATCGGCACGGCATCACCCTTCGTGCATTACACTCACTCACAATATCATGCACGGCATCACCCTTCGTGCTTTACACTCTTCCTCACCCAAACAATAGAAACAAAAAGTCCCGGCAAGGGAATTAACAGTATCAACAATAACATCCCGACAAGGGAATCAACAATGTCAACAATAACATCCCGGCAAGGGATTCAGCTATAACCGATCTCGTTTTCAACAATTACTTTACAAAATGAAACTCAACTTGAGCCAATACTCAACTATAGTCAATTACCAAGAAACTTTCATAAGCTTTGTTCCACATTAATGATCATCAATTTGAGCAGGATCGATACATAATAAAACCACAAACATCATGATATAAGACTCACGGGCATGATTGACACCAACGTATAGATACTCGTCACCACACCTATACGTCATACTCATACTAACACATAGAAATTAAGACCACAACTCCTATTCCCTCAAGCTTCGGTTAAGCCAAACACTTACCTCGATTCCACGGACAAGATTAAGCCTCTCTACCACTTTACCTCTCGGTTCCACTTCCAATTCGCGTGTATCTAGTCATAATTTACTTAATAACATCAATAAATGCTAAATAAACCAAATCTAATGCATGAAAATAGATTTCCCAGTGATTTCCCCCAAAAGTCAAAACCCGACCCCGGGCCCGCTTGGTCAAAACCCGAAGTTCGAACCAAAACCCGATCACCCATCCACTCACGAACTCAACTATGCAATTAGTTTTGAAACCGGACCTCAAATTGAGGTCCAAATCCCCAAAATTTGAAAATCCTAACTTCTACCCAAAAACACCCAATTTCCCATGAAAAACCCTAGATTTTGAAGTGAAGTCATGTAAAAAGATGTTATAGATTGAAGAAAATAAGTAAAAGTTATTTACCTATGATTTGGGGAAGAACCTTTCTTTGAAAAATCGCCCAAGAGAGCATAGGGTTTGAGGGAGTTTGAAAAATGAAGAAAATTCCGTCTAAGTTGGAATTACACAGGCGTAGTTATCGCATTTACGATGACAGGTTCGCAAATGCGAACTCGCAAATGCGGCCCAGGCTTCGCAAATGCGAAGGTAGGCCTGCCTTGCTCTCTTCGCAATTGCGATGACTGACCTCCTCTGATGACTTCGCATTTGCGAAGGGGGGATCGCAAATGCGATCAAATGCTGGCCAGACTTCCTCGCAATTGCGATAAAGTCCTCGCAATTCCCAGGCCTAATAGGCTCGCAATTGCGAGAT